AAAGATTTCCTGATTTATCAAACCGATGCTAAAGTAGAACTTCACATGATGCTCCACATTCCTCACTTTAGGGAAGAAGAAAGGGCTTCTTGGAAGAGATGTCATAAAATACTTGTTTCTTGTAATATAACAACTTTATTCTCGAAATAAAAATAAAAAAAATCTCTAGCCTTTCCCTAAAACTTTGTCCTATTATGATAAAATTTAAACCTGCAGAAACGTTTTGTAAAAGGATTAAGGACACAAATAAAGATTCATCAGGTTGAGCAGAAACATACTATAATAATATTATAGCTGTGATCTAATGGGAAACAATAAATATTCAAACTTGTCTCTTTAATTCATCAAAAATGTCCTGAAATTAAAACAGCAGCTGCTTCTGTTGGTTAATAATCAAGAGAAAAACAATCATGGTAGTGCTCTGTATCAAAATGAGCCGACGCTCCAAACACTGAACATCAGTGATGAAAATAAATCGCTCCGATTTTTTTCCCTAAAGAGAACCGCCATGACTTCCCATCGGTGTCTTCTTCGTTTCCAGAAAACTGCAGCATAAACATGTGACTTCAAAAGCAGCAAAAGCAAATCAAAGCGTCTCAGGGGGTCAGAGGTCACGGGTTCCATCGGAGGTCACAAACCAGCGCGATGTGGTCGGAGGGGTGAGCCACGCTGGGCAGAGCCTTGTAGGTGGTGACCTCCTGGTGGCTGGGCAGAGGGATCACCTGCTCCACCTGCAGGACAAAAATAAAACAGCACCTCAACAAGCCAAAATAATATCGAGTTTTTATTCCCCCCCCGAATAATCATCCTCATTTAAGGGCAGAATAAATGGCCGGACTCAAAAAACAACAATGAGATTTTAGCACACAATTGCTGTAGAATCTTTTCTAATGAGCTAAATCAGAGGACCCAACCTGATTTGAAACAATTACAAATTACCGCACCATTTCCGACGGCAGTGTCTAATTTTACTTGCTCTGTTTCTCCTGTTAATACGGTAAAGCCCTGGGGAGCGTCCGGCTCCAGGCTGCACGTGATCCAAATGAGCCAATGAGCCGTCAGTCTGGGTTGCTGCTGCTGCTACTTTTAGTGGGCAGTACTTTCCTTCAAGACTGACGACGATTGTTTGCAACTTTCAGAAACTTTAGATTGCATGAAATTAATAAAATGTAAAATAACAACAAATATAGGTAATAATATGTTGAGAGTCCAAACGAGATTTGATCCTTAAGAAACGGGTGCAATACAGTTTGTCTGAAGGGCAGTTGCCATATGACGTCATAAGAAGGGGCGGAGCCCCGAGCAGATCTGGTACCTACACCGAGAAGATGAAAAAGAGAGCAGAGAAAGTGCAGACTGCTATTTGGAGATCAGGAAACGGTTCATTGTCAGATTCTGGATTTCCCATTTACCCAGACCTTCAGCTTTATTTCCTTTGGATTTCCGTATGCACAAAAAAAAAAAGAAACTATATAATATTCGCGTAAAAATAGAAGTAAAACATAAAACTACCTGCATGCTCTCTGGCTGTATGAAGACGTAGTCCAAGCAGCCGTGAAATCCTCCCACATAGTTGGTGTAAGCCGGCAGTCCGCAGGCGCTGAGCAGAGGAGGGAAGCTGGAGCTCAGCTCCATGCAGCAGGACTCCTCTGGGCCTGAGCTGCTCCAATCTGCATGCTGCTGAGGAACCGCCGCCTCACTCAGCAGCTGCACCACACCTGAACGCAAGAGCCGCACACTGAACCAGAGCGCCTTACGCCTGCAAAGCTGCTGTTCTGGTGGGAACTTACCTGAGTTTGGGGTGGAGTTGAAGTCCCCACAGAAGAGCAGCGGAGCTCCAGGCGCGACATCGCTGATGATGTGGCTTATGTGCCGCAGAGCCACGCCCATTTGGACCAGGCGAACATTTCCTCCTTCAAAGTGAATTAAAGTTTTAAAGGTCTGCGATGGCTTCACGGTAGGGCTGTGCCATAAATCCAATATACTCCAGTTTTCCCACGCACACATTCACGCATATTTAAATGTTAAATCATTCTGGCTTAAACATGTATATAAATATACTCTTTATCAGACCATATTGTTCATAAATTTTAAAAAAAATTTCTTAAAATCAGTTTTATTCCGTTATCCTCTGCTGGCCAGTTAGTTCTACGTCAGCCTGA